CATTTATGATGAGCTGAAAACACAGAGTTTCTATGTTTGTATTTTTATCGTGATCCCAACGGCCTATCTCTCACAGTGGTGTATTTAATGGAACTCTTCCATGAGACAGATAAAGGCCCCATATTTATTAAAGAAAAGCTTATAACATTTTCCACTGTAATAAATCTAGATTTATCCCTCAATTTGTATCTTTGTTGTTTAGCCTTGGGCTTAATAAAAAACCTCTGCATCATCACATGGTTCGTATTCCATGGAGAAGAGCAGCAATCTTCTGTCATTATTCATCATAATCATCACAGTGTTTCAAAGACATTTCATGCAGTACATTCTATAGAAATTATTGCTTTTTTAAACTGATTTGCAATTAATATTCAGGCCCAACCATTTCTATCACGGAATCCTACACTTTGTTTTCTACACGTCTACATCTTTCCTTACATCCCAGATATTATGATTAGTGTATCTAAAGCTGCACTACGTAACTTACCTGTCTTCATGGTGAGAAGCAGGAAGCGTCACCAGCACAAGTTACAGGTGAGGTCTGTGGAGAGGCAAGCCCACTGACAGTAAAATCCATGTTTTTGAGTGTGAAAAACACCTGTAATGGAACAAATGCTATAGATAGTTAGATTAAAGCAATACTATGGAACTTTCCTTATAAAGATAAAACGTCTCAGTGGAGATAGGTATTGTGTCCTCAATTAGAAAAGCTGTGTAGTGCGCCTTTGAAGATCCTATGACTCTTGTGAGCTTTAAGTCATGTTAGGACGTTGTTACTTCATCAAAAACAGACCTGAAGTTGTGTTTTGTTTCATTCGCACATGTTTGAGGAATCCTTTAATAGTCTGTCTACATCTCCAGAGCTCAAAATGCTGCGTTCCAGAACTAAAGCTCTTCTTGGAGAAAGTGTTGGACGGGGTGCGCCTGCCATTATCACATATTTTGGGAACTTTCACAGATCTGGTCCCAGGTTAGGAGCAGTATTGGAAAAGTTCTCTCTATTACTTTACCGCAGAATTTTGAGACACTGTACCTTTGGATAAGGCCTGCTCAGCTTATAGAACATAAGAAAAAATATATTTATAATATACTACTGGCTACTGGAAAGAAGATGGCTTAGTGATAAAGCTTCTTGCCTTGAGGACTGGATGAATGTTTCCATACTATTTACATAATGGACATTTTATGAGACATGACCTTGACAAATTTGATAATTACTGGAAAACTTGGAGAGCGTGTGTTGCCAGATTTTAATTGAGTGTGACCTGATGAAACCATTGTATTTTTTATTTATGAATATATTTGTCTTGTTTTGTTATTATTACTCTTTTTACTACCAAGCTTACTCAGGAGCGATAATGTGGCCCCCAGAGAAAAAAGTTTGGTGACCCCTGTTATAATGCTTACTGCAAATAACAAAATACTTTTCTCTTTTTGTTCCAGTTTGATAATTCTTATAAGACATGTACATGTTTATTTTTGGAAAAGGAGAAAGGGGACTGCTGCATTCCACCTTATGATGTCATGGTGGGGTAGTTTTCAAGATAACAGCTATACCTATTGCCTTTAGTTCAGTAAAGACAATTCCAGGGCTGAAATTAACCAAATGATTCTAGTGTAAGGAAGTTAAAAACACAGTGGAGCACTTCCCTGCCTATCACATGGCATCGCAAGGTAGAATAGAGTGTTTCTGTTTGAGAGAAGAACAGGGTTTGTGTGTTAAACGTGTGAATGAAACAAAACAAAACTCTGGGCACAACAGCATTATAACCCAGATCAGAAAATAGCCTAATATGGGCTTTTTTACCACTCCCCAAAATGTGCAACAATCTGAACTGAAATAGCTACAGCTGCATGCTGTAGTTATAGCTTGTTATAGCAAATAAACATCTAGTTGTTTTGCACGGGGCGATACTGAAGGCTTTGGTCACACACGTGTGGACAGGAGCTTGGTATAATCCATGTGGTGCATAAGTGATAAGACAAAGTGTTGTTTCAGGACTCTGTGTGCTGTAGAAGGGCAGTCTGAAGTGAGAATGGAAAAAGTGAGGGCGTAGGGAAAGTGAGCCCAGCTGATGTAGTGGTCTATGAAAGTACACAATGCTCACAAACATGCTAAGAATAGGTCCAGATATGTGAGCTGGTTTACATTATGGTGTTTACACTGGAAATTATGTAAGTGGTTTAGAAATAATATCACACAATTTAATCATGAAAAGAGAAGTGATGGATTATACTCACCAAAATGCAGCAGAGAAGGTCCTGCACAGAAAAAAAAGTGGAGTGTTAAAATGAACTCTCACAGAATCAATTTTAACATTTTCTCAAGGTTTATATGAGTCCAATCTGTTCTAGAGTTAGTTTAACATTTTTGGAAATGTTAATTAAATAACACTGGACTAAAATCCCCAAATCAAGAGTTATATTAACATTTTGAGAGTAAACGGATAACACTTTGTAGGGTTATCCTGATTTAGCTGAACAACACACAGAGGTGTTTTCTTTTTACACTTTATTTTAGTTAATTTACAATTAAATTACGTACAAAACTGGTTCAAACTGGTCTTCTCTCGTGGAAGTTTGAAGTGGTGGCTGGAAAGTGCGAAAATAACACTCGGGGATGTTGAATTAACTTCAGCCAGATTAACTCTGGCAAAGAACCCAAACTCGAACTTTCATATAGTTAAAATAAAAAATTTTGTGCTAAAAACAACCCTCCAGTTTTTGCTGTGTGCCATTGTTTTTAGCAACATGATCACACTTACACAGGTTAAAGTGCCTGTGACAGGTTAGTCTCCCCATTGCTCTAAAATACAGTTAAGATGTTGTTATATATAACTTTTTACTAAACTTTTTTAGGTTTAACATTGTACTTCCTGGTTGTAAATTATGACACTTGCAGTAGGGAATTCCATAACTGTTGTGAAACTACAATTTACATTTACCACAGATATTATCCCACCAAATTAAGTTAAAACCTGTCATATGTAATTTGCTAATTGTTGATCTGCAAAATATTGTCACCGTCCATGCAAACATTTTCAACTGCAGAACTCTTTCACTTTCCGCTGCAGAGTTTTTGTAACCATAAAACAATTTAACAGCCCTGCTATTGCATAAACGTTAGTTCATTAGCAGTGATAGCTGGTTTTTACTAGCACAGCTAATAAAAAACACAGTAAAGACACTATTATCCTCCCTGTGCTAATCAAACTGAACCCATCCACCAAGTAAATTTGTATGAGTGAAAGTCACAAACCAAATCAGAGTGTGCTGAAATTGAAATGATCCTTGCAGATTATAGCACCACACTTGACCTTTTCTGTAAGTGAGCAGCTATGGAAGCTCTGCGGGGACACACTGAATCAAATTTGATGGAGCGAGTGCACAATAATAATATAGTAGTAACTCTTTCATTTCCAGCTGCAGAGTTTTTGCATTTTCAAAAACTTTGCAATCCCTTCAGAAAGAAATGCTCGTGAATTATTTTTTGCATTTTCAGGAGGTAGAGTGATTCAGATTTAGAACTCAGTGCTATTTATTATTTGTGTATTATGTATTTCTGAACTTTTCTTTTCAACTTTTTCTTTGCAACAAACTGAACAAACTACTCATATTACGCCAGTTTCTGATCTGATGTTATAATGTTGTTTCCTCATCAAAAACATACCTGGAGTTGTGTTTTGTTTCACACACGTTTAACACACAAATCCTGTATATTTAGGAGCTCTTCTCTCAAACAGAAAACATGTTTTAAACTCCATACACTTTCACTGTAATCATTTGGATAATTTTACCCTTGGAAACTTTCTCTCACTTTCATTTCATCCCAAAACATCAGCCTTTTTTTTTTCTTTTTCTTAACCCAATCCATCTTCTTTGTCCTCTTCCATCATGTGTTCTGAGTGGTCCATTATTTTCACCGCTGGTGCACTTCCCCGACACAATCGCTCAGCTTTGCTTTAGGAACAATCACACGTGGATCTAAAATGGCCTCCAGCATGAGTCACTCGGACAGGGGAGTGCAGACCAAGACGTGAGCACTTTTATAGGATTACAATTGCAGCTTTAAAACACGTTCATTATCATACAATCAGCACGAGGCTGCAGTCACCTCTTTGGAATTTTTATGTATATCTAAAAAAATCTGAGGGATGACTAGGCCTGTGTGTCCATTCTTATCTTAAAGGGCATATATTAGCTTTTTTTAAATCTATTTTATAACACTGTGGTAATACACAAAGTGCTCCACTATGCTTTTAAACTCTTTACACCTTCATTAGAATAATTTGAATGATTTTAGCCCTGGAATTGCCAATCTCTTCTGAACTAAAGGTAAAAGTTAGCTGTAAAACTGGAAATTATCACTACATGACATCACAAGTTGGAACAGTACATTTTGAGCTTTTGGAGCAACTCACAACACACCATTTCTTCACAGCTTACAGCCCCCACACTTGATTGCTCCTCATTACTGTCTGTCCTGTCCTTGAACAAACAAATAAAAATATAAACGCACCATGATTTAATAGAGCATGTCAGTGTTGCTTGGTTTAGAGAAAATATTCATGCCTCACTGGTAGGGATGTAACAATAACCGAAATATCGTGATATTGTATCGTCAAAGGTCTCTCAATAATATCGTGGACCATCACAATATATCGAATTACAAGTCTCTTTCCTTAAATTAATAGTTATGGTGCAGAAGTAGCTTAATAAAACAGAGGGAACTACATAGACCATAATCGTTTGCTCTGTTTTAGTGCAGACTACATGAAGAAATAACAGTTTTGAAGCTTAATTCCTTAGAAAAATAGCATATTCACAGTTTTGTTAGCCTCCACAAAATATCATGAGAGGTATATCGTGAAAACATCGTACCGAGAGATTTGGATATCGTTACATCCCTACCCACTGGTAATATTGTGTTGTTCTGTAATAAAGAAATGAAGATAATTTAGATGACATGCAAACGGGGACAAAGAGAGACTAGAAACCAGACCGATTAAATATTAAATTTATTATAAAACATTTATTTACAAATCTGTGTTCAGCAGTGATTCCAAAGTCTGTAAAAGATTGTCATACTAAAACACGATACACTGGCGTCATTTTGAAGTGACTGTGTGAGTAAAATACATGAACACCTGACCGCTGTTCCATCTCAAAATAGATCTGATTGCTTATAAAATATAGTGCAGTAGAAACCTTTGGAGTATTGTCTAAGCAGCTGACTCAAGTGTGACTAGTTCTCCATCAGTGTTCATATGAAAATACAAGCCGCTAATATAGCCTAGCAAAAATAGATTATGCAAAATTCTCACATTTGACCACACTGCTGGGTAGAAATACAATGTGTAAGTTTAGCTAGAGTTTTAGCATGAGCACTTGACACTTCTCATTTACTTTTCTATCTCTCGGATGACTCAAAATGGACTTCTGAGTCAAAAGTCAAATACATTCAACGATTTCATATTTACACGGACAACAAGAAAGTCATTTCCGAGCATCGATCAAAAACTCATAATGTTTTTATGTACAATGATAAAAACAACATCTACTAGTGACTCATGTTGCTTTCACATGGAACGAGGCAGAAGGTTCAGGGTTTACCGAGATTTTTAGCGGAGGAGTAAATGTTGATTTGAAAAGTTGATTTGAAGCCCAATACCAGCTTCAGAGGTGGGTAGTACTGGTAGTTACATTTACTCAGCTGCTTTTACTTTAGTAACTTTTTGAGTACTTTTCTAGCAGCTTACTTTTAGTCCTGCTTGAGTAACATTTTATTGAAGTTCCTTGAATACAAGTTTTGGCTATTCTTCCCACTGTGAGTAAGTCTACAAGTGACAAAAGCTTTAGATAACAAAAATATTTAAACATTTGTGTTTCTTGTGTCCACCCTTTGAAAATACCAAGTTTTGTGCTTTATTTAATGTTTTCTCCTTCAAATTACATTAACTTTACATTAACAGTGACTCTTTCAATTACTCTTACTTTCCCCAAGTTGATTAATTTCTTGGACCACTACTTTGTTAGCCAGGCTGGTGCCACCTAGTGCCTCCACTCATTTTAATTTCTCTCCAGCAACTAGGTCAGGAATCGGAATACACTAGACGATTTCCAAGAACCCCGAAGTGTGAGTCTGGACACCAGCCAATCAGCAAAGAGCCAGACATTCTGTGTTGGCAACGATTCCCAAGATCGAGGATTTAAAGCCGGAACAAGGAGAATGTTTGGTGAAATTTATCAAGGCGAAAGACGTTATTGCCCTTCTTCCTACGGGATTTGGGAAAAGCTTAATATATTAGTTGCCACTTTAGCGGCACATTACATACATCACAACCAAATAGCAGCGATGAGTTAAATTTTAAAAAGTACCTGCCTACCGTCGAGTGAATAAATCCTAACTCTGTGATGACAGATGGTTTCTATAAAGCTGATGAATCCAAGCTACTACTTTGTACTTATGTACTTATACTTGTACTTATTATTTAGAAGTAATGTTACTGTTACTTGAGTACATTTTTGGCCACTCTACCCACCTCTAAACAGGTTTGACAATTTTTTTCTAACATAACAATTGTGCAGTCTGGTTTCTTGTCACAAACTTCTCATAATAAAGATAAATAATACTTGTCTTATTGCTTTCAAACATTTAGGTAAAAGGTGACAACTTTTCTAAATACTTTAAATTCGGGTATACAGATGAAAATGCTTGTTGTGCTGTCCGCCAGCATAGGTTCCACAAGGTAAAAGCTTTAAAAGGGATTTGCCCAAGTGATCTGTTTTTTATACATTGACATCATCCGGGCTGCCTTTCCCAATCTTATCGTGCTCTCATCTACTGACCTAAAGTAACATTGGTCTCCCCATTTGCTCTGACTCCATGTGAATGCAACACAGCCTTACAGTTTCATACTAAATTGGACTGAGATCAGGTAATTGCCCCGGCTCTTAAGCTCCATTGTGGTACAGAGCATACAGAGCAATTATACAGGTCCACATAAGAGCGATGCAAAAGGAGCAGGTAGAGTCTCTATCCGCACACTTCAAATCCATCTCCTCTAACTTCCGACAAATTGGCTTCTGCAGTAATGACTTATATGAGAGGCACTGATAAACAGATGGAAGAGGGAGCAGGATAAGGGGACTCGCGCACAACACTGGCTCCCCCTGCTGGCATGTAAACGTATACATACAGTTAAGTGAAATAGTTCAAACTGAAATGGATTGCCTTAAAGGTATGTAACTTTTTGGTTGGGGGTACAGGTTGTTTAACTGCTCAAAAAAATAAAAAAAAAACTAGAAAAACAGGCATTCTGACTGTGAGTAGGATTGCCTCTCCAGAGATCTGACCTGTGACTTGATCTGGTTTGGTCTCCATGAAGATAGAAATGTTTAAAACCACACTGAGAAGCATTCCAGACAAAGCAATAACATCCCCATGGAAAAAAAAAAAGCATTTAACGGACCCTCCACCAGAAAAATTACAAATTGCACCTTTAATAGTTGTTTAAACACATAGAAAACTTCTGCTATACTAAATACACTAAACCCTCTTAAGTTTGTTCATGGAAAAGTCACGTACTTTTCCACGCTGAGTTGTTTATCAAATTACTTCCCCAGCATCACTTTGACCTGAACAAGATGGACTTCTATGAGAATGTGAACTCACAAATCTCAGGAGAATGATTTTGGAACCATTTCAGTTTTCAATGGCCACTTTAGCAGGAATTCTTAACAAACTTGAATTCTTCTAGCACATAACTCAGCTCTTATTGGCATCTAATCCTTATAAATAGAAAACCATGGAACAATTTCACCAGACTGTAAGATATATCAAATACAAGTCAAATCTCCAAAGACATACTCCTACTCTGTTTCCATTTCAAAATACCTTTCAAAATGTCCTCAGTGATCTTTCCTGCCTGTATATGTTATCTGTGTATATTATACTTTGACAGACTTCTTAGTTTAAAATGGCAAAAATTAGCTGCTAAATGTCTAGAAAGCCTACATTCAGCAACTTGTCGTCAGTGATTTATTGCTCTCGAGCCCAGCAGCCCACATGTTCACAGTATGTGTATAGCTTATAGAGAATTCCTGACAGTCTCACTATTAGCCCGATTCTCACCACTTTGAACCAGTAAACATTAAGAGGAATCAACAAAAAAAGATGGGTAGCTATTTCTAAGCAAAAAACACAGAATATGCTTTTAAAGATGCAGTAATGGACCCTCACAGCTAGAATGATTTCAGATTGTTTGGACGATAAGAAGTCTTATTTTGTTAGCTTTGGCCTTTGTTCACGTTTTGGACTGCTTTAAAAACATTGATAGAGCTAATGTCAAATACCTGGGATCGAACTGTGACCGTAAGTCTTTGCTGCAGCTTGAGTGGAGCAGTTAAGGATAGATTATGTGGAATTTATAAAAGCAATTAATCGTCTAATAGGACATGTAAATATTCAAATAACCCCAACATTATCTTCCCCATCCAACTTTATGACCTGTTGCCCTAACGATAATCCACTGAGGTAATTACTGCACTAGCTCTCTCCCAAAAACTTTCACTTATAAATCTACATTGACAGAGGTAGTATAAAGGCCAAAGCTACAAAACAGGAACCATGTGAAATAATAAACCATAAAAAATATATTTGCGATTGTAACCGAGTGCACCACAAATCCAAACTGCCAGTGTAACGTCTCAGGTGAACCTGTCCTTCAGTGTTCTGTCTAAAAAGCAACGTCCAAATTACCTCATAATAATAGCAATATCATAATAATAATAATAATAACAATAACAATAATAGCAATAACACGAGCGCCCTCCTGCACGACCAGATGCACCACGACCCACACAGCTAATGGCTCTAACGTGACTGTGCCGCGTTTTATCAGCACCCAATCTGCTCCCTGCGCGTTTCCATGGCAACGGGCACATCTCTTGGCTGGACGTGACCTGAACTGGGAGCTAATGTCACTACCTCCCCCGTATCCCAAAGTGGACTAGGACATGGTGTGAGGAGAAGTGCTGTGATCAGGACAAACAGAGGGAGCTGCGGTAGGGGGCCAGTGTGCAGACCGGAGTGGGGAGGCCGTAGTGGGAGGGGTCCGTGAAGGGAAACAGGAACAGGATGAAGAGAACGACACCCAGGAGGTAGGAGGACAGAACGGTGAGGCGCTGTGGGTGCTCCACGGCTGCACTGATGGCAGGAAAACCCATGTAGTTACAGAAGGAATGGCACAACACCGGGCCCATCAGATGACCTGTACAGGGGGGAAAAGTTAGTAAGAATGTCCTCACTGCAAAAATATGGAACAGGGTTAGGCAAAGCTAAACATATCTATGGTTTATTCAAAGTGAGTTATGATTGTCCAAGATATTTGCTCTCTTTTTTGTACATTCATGAGGTATTTTTGGCCAATACACTATTTAAATGGAGCAGAAAAACAAGCATGAGAAAGCGAGAGAAAGAGCCCCACCAGTGTAATTTGTTGTAAGAACTAGTAGTAGTATATATAGAACAAGTCTTTCGAAAGTTCCATAACACTTCTAAACAGCTAATCCATACATGCCAGTCGGGAATTAATTATGAAAACCCCATTAGTCTTATTGACCTCTGTCCCAGTAGTTTAGCTAATGTGTTTTTAACATAATCAATCATTATTGAACCATGTTACACAACACAGTTTAATAATGGAGGCTCATTAAAACTCCAGCTGAAGCCCAAATGATTCAATGATTGTGACAGTGAGGGACAGATTGTTTTACGTCATGCTCACTCAAACACTCTTTGTTAAGATTTTTATCTACATTGTATTATTGAGCTACTGTGTCCACATAATTTCCCCTGTGAACCAATTAACTTAGCCTTGGTCTAAAATGTCTTTGATATACTGTGCAGTGTCCGTATGTGCAACAAAGACATGATAAAAATACAGTATATATATATAAATAAATAAAAAACAAGAAATAAAGATGTTTTTTGTTTTACTGGAAGCTTTCTTGATCCATAAATAACCAACGCACCTGTTCTGAGAAAGATGAACGCTGTGTACGCCCCGAACACAGCGGTATAGGAGAACTGGAACACTGTCAGAAGGGAATCGAAATAATGGTCATATAAAATAGACCCACAAATAAATCAATGTTGATCTCTAGTCCCTCTAGTGTCTGACCTGCAGATAAGAAGATTCCCGACAGAGTGCCCTGCCTAAACCGCAGCAGCTCAATCACATGATGGAAGTGGGCTGAAATGTGATTAACATTAAAAAAACACGTTAATTAAAAAAAGAAACATACAAAAATCCCCCAGAATTTAACAAACTCACCAACTCCAAAGAATAGTGGGCAGGTAAAGATAGCGGCAAATGGTCCTGCGCAGGGCACCAACATGGGCAGCATACAGGCACGGAACACCAGCTCCTCTGTCAACGGCGCGACCACCTGGTTCCTCAGCCAACGCATGTCACTGAAGCACAGGGACCAGAACCACGGATCTAGAGGAAAAGACAGTTTTAGAAGAGGTTACATTGCAAGACACCTGAAGTAAAGTTAATCAGTAAGAAAATTACAGTTCTAAGAAGTCTTACCACACGCCACTTTGATGCCATCCATGAAGCTCCAGGGACAGTCCATGGCGAGCTGCATCAGGGGCCCCAGAAACAAGACCTTAAATGGAAGAAGGCACAAAGGCAATACATATGGGTTTTGTGTTGACGGTGCAAGTGCATATAAAATTAACCCTTCATACTTCGACAAAGAGGCCTAAATATATTTTGTGTATTCATTCAGTTTTAATGCTGGTCATTTCTAATTGTCAGTGATCAGCTTGGGCCTTTTTAAGGATCCTTTTAAACAAATGAGCTACAGACAACTTTCTATGAGTTAAAGTATATGGTTTGGAGTGGAGAAAACTGTAATGGATCAATATGAGGAAACAAATCATGATAAATTATAATACAGCTAATATATAATACCATATAATTTGGTCAGTCTGTGCTACAGCAGGTACAGTAGCTACAGAGGAAGTTACCAGAGTATGAAGTAAGTATAGAGTGAATGAAGTCAATGAATAATAGCTAATGTGTGGCACTTTAAGAGGCTTCAAAAAGCTTTTACAAGTGCAAGGCATTATAATGTAATAAATGTATAGTGCTTGTCGTATATGTTACCATGGTGAGCAGTAGTGGAAATATGATGGCAGGAATGAGGCCCTCCAACCGGATCCCCATGAGAGCCAGCAATGAAGGGAAAGTCTGAAACAAAACAGAAATAGTTAGATTAAAGGACACTAGCATTACTCAACAATAAAGCTTACACAGTAAAAAGCTATAGCACAAAGTCTTACCCTGATCCCAGCAAGCTCTCTCCAAGCCCAGACAAACAGAGGGGACAGGCCTGACACCACCAGCACACTGGTGAAGCGCCGCTTGATCACAACAGGGTGGTCCCTGTGGGGGTCATGACATACATCAATATTCTCAATAGAAATGTAGTGAGAATAAAAATAGTTATTGTGTGAAGAATAAGAAAGCACACATGATGGACAACAATAACAGCCCAAGCAGAGTAGATAAGATACTACATAAAACAATGGCAATAAAATCTGTAAAGGTGGCGCATGTGTAACTTCTTTGGTGGACTGTGCACGCCATCTGCTTGTCCCCATAAAGATGTCATTGTTTTACCTGGTATGTTGCACAGTATGGCATTAAACGTATTTATCTTCTTTGAACAAAGCAGAAGCAGATGGCGACCTTCCCACCAGAACATTACATAGGACACTTAAAGATTCTTGCACTAGAAGTTGCTCCAACATACATGTTAACAGTATGTCGTCAGACTGGTACATCTGCCTCCTACAGACATGGGAAGGGTTAATGTCTTCCATCACACCCATTTGTTTCTCAATGAGGATTAGCACAACAAACAGGCAAGTGTGGACCCGTCCTTCACCACTAAGCGACGCTATTGTGAAGTCCAGAAATAGCTGCACCAGCTGTGAACTAAATATGTCAGCTTTTATAAATATACACAAGATACATCAACTCACTGAACAGAGTCTGATTCAAAATACACTACCAAAGCCTGCAATAACGCGCTATAAGGACAATGATTTATATTAAGCTTACATTAAAAGGACACTCCATAATATCCATATATGCTGTGTTACCTGGGCAGGTCACTCCTCCAGATGTACAAGCTGCCCACATAGGAGCAGGCCAGCAGCAGGCAGAAGAGCACAGACAGCCAGCATAAACCTTCTGGAGGAACGAACACTCCGGTGCCGAGGACCAGCTCATCCGGGGGAAGTTTTAGGGATAAATCCTCCTCCTCAGCCATGGTGGCTCACTGCTGGTGCTTTCGCTTAAACTCTTCGGCTGCTGGGCCAGCTAACACGGCAAAACAGCAGGCGACATGAGCGGTGAAGCAGCCAGATCAGGCTTCAGTCAAAACGAAAGCTAACACGGCTAACCAGTTAGCCGCATAGACGCCGTGGCGCTTCTTGATGACGTCATAAAAACGTTTGTAGTTTTTTGGTCTCCGGAATGAGCTCAGAGAGCTGTAGAAGTGCAATACTGCCGCTTTGTGGCGGCGAACGCTATAACTGACAATACATCTTATACTCCTTCAAAGAAAAGAAAAAAACTGAAGTAAAAGTAAAATCGCCGGTTGCCCCAGAGTACACCTATGTCTTATGGTTACAGGCTACATGTTTGTCATTGTATTTGTTCAGCAAATAGAAACACTTGTAACTGAATAAATGCAAGACAGATTAATAAAATGCTGGGGAACATTCAAGGCAATCTCCATGGAGACACAGAAAACTACTGTACGTTGGGACCTAAAACCGAGACAGAAGAGCACATTTAATATGCTGGAGGCTACTCACAGGTGAGGCAAACTATGAAAAAAATAACTGTAGTCATGGTTTTATCATATGCCTATATTTAGACCAGGCCCATTATGACTCAGGATTATATAGACAACATGAGTATCCCAGATCTCATGGTAATGTGGCCACATTTGTTTCAAAATCATATCTGTTGGGATGAGGTTTATGATAATGTATAAAAATTTCTAGGCTAATTGTTAAACTATTCACAATTCCTATTCCCATTAGAGGATAGACATATGAGGACACATGCCTCATAGGCCCTTAGTTTACCTATAGCAAATAAACAACACTAATCAATAGAAATTAGAGATATAGAAATGGACTAAAATTACGTTTAATTAAAGTGTTAGGCCTATTTAGTCTACAGAAATGCACACTTTGTCGAAGAGTGGCCTTGAAAAGAGCACTAGCCTAGCATCACATAATCTAAAAGATGATTTGATCAAGATTCTTTTTCTATTTGTCAAAACAATAAATTTGTCAAGTTTAGGCTGTTGTTACACATAAACACGCACTTTGGTGCATATGAAGAAACGCCACAAAGGATGGCAGTGTTTACCTGAAGCCATCCACAGTTTGTGGAGAGGAGAGGAGGGGTGGGGGTATGAGAGGGGCGTGTCATCGCCTTGTCTGCCAGCTCTCTCCTCCGGTTGTGCACAGTCCGCGCCTCAGTTCGGAGCCGTGTGTTCGTGACGTGAGCGCGCGGAGGGAGAGGCGATGTTATCCTGTGCTGCTGCTCCATCTGTTTCCTCCACACTTCGCGTCTTCTCCTTGGTCTTCTTTTCGAGGCTTCCCAGACCGTACGGGGACTGACACCCACCCACACACCCTTTCTACCCCTCACACACCCACCCGGAGGAGGAGGCATCACAGCGGAGCAACCATCAGTGGGTAGGGGCCTGTTTTTATTGTACTCTTAAGATGTGGATGATGGATGCGTAACAAGGCTCTCTTTGATTGGCGGATTGTTTTGTTTAATCGGGTAGAAGACAAAGACAATATGTGAGTAGCGTCAAGTAATACTTTTAAAATAAAGAGAAGCTTTTTGGACCTATATTCGCTGAGCTCGTACATTATTTACATCAAGTGTGGTACAGCTGCGTGTCGGTGCGTAAGGAGGGCGTGTATGCCATACTGTATGTTTATGTGCAGTGGAATCCCCTGTGTATTAGTCCATCGTGTATGCGTAAAATCAGCGCTATAGCTACGGGGCCTTCGGGGATTTTTAAATGGAGCCTCCTCATGGCTTGATGCGCTCGTGTTACTACAGCATCACGTCTGGATAAAGGGGAGAACGCGTCATTGAGAACAGCGTGGTCCTGGGAAAACGCAATCCGCTGCAATCCCCGTACTCAGGGTAGGAGCCACTACGCCGAGGCCATGTTTAAAGCCCCCCACAGCTGTAACCAAGCCTTAGTGACTGGCGCATTAGCACTTCAGGACGAGAGGTTATGGTGCCTTCCAGACGGTTCCGAGGTGCGCACAGGCTCAGGAGATACAGTTTTGATGAAATTTCTGGGCAGTAGGTTGGCTACATCTGGTAGCCCCTTGGCTACAGTACTCTGGAGTTTGCTGAGTAATATAATAACATTATGGTCATGGTAAATAATGGCAATTATGGAGGGAGAAGCAACAGACAGTAGACTTACAGTATGTAGTATTTCCACAAGATTCCACAGTATTGCATTATGTCCATCTATCCTGTATTCACTGATTTCTTACAGATGTTCTTTATTGCTAAACAAAAATAGATGGTGATATTTTTAATGCCATACTGTGGAACATTCCTGGCAAAGCAATAACATCTCCATGGAGACAGGCAGTGGTGGACATTTTGCCAGAAAAGTTAATCTTGCATCTTTAGTTATTTCTAAATGTTCCATCTCACTCAATAGCTGTAGCTTAACTATTCTAATCTAATAAAGTATAGTATCGGACAAAGAAGTTAAATATGGTTCTGAAAGTATAGCTAGTTTTACCTAAACATGTAGTGTGTTTTTTCAGAAATGAGAGCAAGGCAGACATTGTCAGTTTTGGCATCAACAGGTTGAGATAGTTTGATGATCCTGCCTCTTACATCATTAATATGTACTGCCAAGTGTTTACATGTTAAACAGAAATCTGCTGTCTTGAGTTTAACTGTTGGAAAGTCTGTCCCAATTCTATTTGTATAATGTCATTTTAGCACCGAGGTTTCCAGTGAACTTCATTTATAGACATATGAAAACCATAAAAAGTTGAGGGACGTCAGTGCTGTGGGTACTGGCGTGTGTGGAGTCATAGGAAAGTGACACCTCCAGTCTGAGAGGCCTTTGTTCACTATACAGCAGTTTACATAGCTGCTTTCATATCCCTTTTACCCCCGTGAATAGGATACATTCACAGTCATGGATAACCTGTCCAAGTTTTTTCTGATAAATATAGAAACATGTAGGGAACAGACCACATCTCTCATCTTAGTTATGTAACAGTATTAAAACCACAGGGTTATTTCAGAGCTTTTGGTGCCATTAGATTATATCTGTTTGCATATTATATAACGTTAGTTTAAAATGAAAAGCATGTGTGATTATTGGGCCTAAAGACAGATTATAATACAATGAAGTCATGTATTTATTGTTCAAAATGATTTGCTTTTAAGTCAGTACTCACAAAAGGTTCAAGTGGATTGGATTTCATCTTTATCAACTGATGTAATTTTATGGATAAATTACCACACATTTTTTAATGTGTATAGGATTTCTTTTAGAAGTACCCCAGTCTGCACTTGTTTACTCTTACTTATAACAGTTTGACAGTGTATATTATGCATTATACACACTTCTCTAAAACTTTACAAAGATGTGCATCTGATCACTGGTGAATCTCCCAGAGTTCAGATAGGTGTGATTGACAGGTGGATTAGCCAATCAGAGATATGCATGTTCCTTCCATATCAAAACAAATACGTCTACTTATGAGGAAAAAAGAGAAACAAATCACAGGGGACTGAATAATATGGCAGATGTCTGCAGAATCAACAAGCGAAGCACTAAACTCTGTTCATGTGAGGTGAGAGAAATTTGATTTGTTTGTAAATGATGGGTGATTAATGAGCCTCTTTGTTTTACATGCGTCACTGTAATAAACAAATCTGATTGCACAAACAACAAATATCATTCTAGATTTGCCAAGTCTGGAAACAAATACAGTGAGGGAAGAGCTAAGGTTTCTGCAGAATCAACAAGAGGAGCACTAAACTCTGTGCACTATATTTTGTTCTGAAAGACACGAGAAAATGTAAGAGATGTATGGAGCATTTGAGAAACACGTTCTAGAAATAAGTGGCTGTGATTTGACTGTCTCATATAAAGACGGTTATCTGATGTTCGGCTCTGTGGTCTGGTCCCAGATCTTGCTGGTCCGTTCTGTTTGGGTGCAGGAGGGACAGGCAAACATTTCAGTTCATTTCATACAGTTGTTAAGTTTGTGTAGTGTGTCGTGATATCTCCAGTGCAGAAACTGTCTGTGCTGTGGCTTAAGTTGACCTTCAGAAAGTCCCTGATTCCACATGTCATTGTGCAGTCCATGATGAGACCTTATACACTGTACCTTACACACAGACTCCTCCACTGCAGGGTCAGCCGTGCCTCACACAGTTACGTAACAGTTTGATATATGGTCCCATAAGACCTGTGGGCATTTATCTTCATGTCCCCACGCCACTGTGATGTTCCAGTATGAAACCCAACATTACGATCCAAAGCCCATTGAAGCAGTCATTACTAGTGTTGCAGTCAGAATCTCAAAGACAAAAAAATACAAAGATATGTTGTTTCAGTTTAATTTTACATCGTATTTTTTTGTGTTCCTATAGTCCTAACTGTTGTTTTTGCCTTTTTTATAATTGTATAGATGACCAAAAAGACAGCTGAGATAGTTGAGGGGTGAATAATCCTTAGTACAAGCTGGAATATAAGATAAATTCCAATATTTTGTCAATTGTTTGACTGCAATCAGTATCTCTGACTCATACAACAGTGTACCGTTTTATAACATTCCCTTTGGAGATAATTGCTGTTAAGTTAGACATTTTTTTAACTCCATTCTTGAAAGTAGTGGATTGCTGCAAAAATAGATTCTCACTCTTGTTAATATAAGTGTGAAGATATATGCTTACTTAACAGCAAGAATGACTGAAATGACTGTGCCATAAACTAGTATAAAAACATTGTGAGGCCGAAAAATAACTTGGACTGACAGTTGCAGTTGAAGCAGAGGCAGAGAAGGCTGACCGGGGGAGGACCACTCATCTGTGTAAACTCTTACATAATATGCACACTCTCATACACTAAAGATGAAAAATAAAATTACATATGCCATTATAACTATATATGGAATCCAATTTGAAAATCGTGTATTTTTAATTAGCTTAATTATAATGTATTTTGCCCGGATTAACCAGCGACATAGGTCTTTTTAAAACAGATTCTAGCAGTAATATGAGCACTGTCACAGGGCCATAATTCAGTCCATTATTAACTTCCAATGGGATAAATTTAGCGTTTCATTTGTTTCTGGAAGAGACCCATTCATCCCACGCCCACCTCCTGCAGTGGGCACCAGCTAGCTGCATGGTCTGACGTTATT